TCCCCCGTGTCTAATGAAGCGAGTGCGATCATTGCCGACGGAGACCGGCCCGCCGAGCCACCCATAGGCCCTTGCCTCCGGTTGCTCCAGGCGCCCGGAGGTGGCGGGGAGCGGGAAAGGGGACCTTCCCTCCGAGCCGAGCCGAGCCTGGCAGGAGCAGCGTCGGGGGGCCCGGTGCGCCCCGAGCTGAACGGTTCAAGATGAGAAATGCCCATTAGTAAACCGGGGTGAGGGCTCGGCGTTCCCTGCTCTCTGGCCGGGGGGCCGCGCCTCCCCTTCCGCAGGCACCGTAGCCCGGAGCCGCCTCGTCGCCTCGCCCGAGTGGAGTTCCTCCCACCGCCGCCCGGGAGGATTCATGAATGAGACGCTCCCGCCGCCGCGCGCGGGGCTCCTTCCCGGCGCGTTCCCAGAGCCCTTCTGCGCGGGCGCCCAGCGGGCGCGGAGGGACGAGACGGCGCCTCGCTGTCCGGCGTGGGCACCGGCCTGTGGGGACCGAGGGCACCACCCTAGACCTGCGAAGGCCGGCCCTGGTCCTACTGGCTCGTGCAGCCTCTGGTGCTAGTAAAGCAGGTCCAAGCCTGGCAGGTCCAAGCAGACACTCCCCTGCGCCCAGGGAGTTACTGGAAAAGCAAAGAAACCACCTCTGAGGAGCCCGTGCGCAGAGGCTGGTGGGGGGCGTGGGAGCGGTGGGGTGACCCGCCTTCATCCTGAGAGGACTTGCAGTTTGCAGAGAGCTTTACGTTTTCCTTAAGCAGCCGTAATGCTCAAATCAGTCCCCTCCGACGCCTTTACATTGCCCTTCCTCCCCTTTCATTTCCATTTGGGCGCAGCTCAAGGCAGGGCAGTGGGTGAGCACATTTGAGCCGAGAGACCTGTTCTTAGAGATGCCTCGGCTGGCTCTCTGGTTCTCGGGCTGGGAGCCGGGGCAGGGCCTGGAGGACCGGACGGCACTGCTGGGAGCCCGCCCTGTGCTGCCCAACTTTCATTAGTGCCCGAAAGCCTCCGGGCAGCCCTGGCCGGTTTGGCTCAGCGGATAGAGCGTCGGCCTGTGGACTGAAGGGTCCGGAGTTTGATTCCCAGTTGGGGCACATGCCCGGATTTCGGGCTCAGTCCCCCGAGGGGGGGGTGTGCAGGAGGCAGCCCATCAATGATTCTCATCATTGATGTTACCATCTCTCCCTCTCCTTTCCTCTCTGAAATAAATTTAAAATATATATATATATTTTTTTTAAATGAAAAGAAGGATCCCAGGTTTGATTCTGGCAACCAATTGATGTCTCTCAAATCAGTATTTCTCTCTCTGCGTCTCTCCCCCTCCCTTCTACTCTCTCTAAAAATGACTGGAAAAATCTCGAGAGGATTAACAACAAAAACCTTCCAGGTAGTCTTATGCAATGGGAGGATAAATGAAGAGCTGAAGTTCAGTACCTGTGAACGTGTACCCTGTTGCCTCTGACTAGGAAGGGGAGTTCATGCCACTCAGTGTCTGTGGGCGGCCTTTGTCTTCCCACGGAGCTCGTAGCTAGGCCTGAGGACTTCACCTGTGTCTCCACGGCCTCTTCCCAGAAGGCCTCCCAGACGCGTGTGCTCAGCGATCACCTGTCCCCAGCAGTGAAATGATTCTCTTTGTCACACTCTCTCCGGTGGGGAGGGAAGCCATTCTGTTCAGCTGCTGCCTTCCTGTTGGTTCTCACTGAAATGTGAGAGAAGGCTGAGGGGGTCGATATTTGTGCTGTCCTGGCTGGTGACAGCCCACTAGCCAGAGAGAAGGGAGGCTGCCGGAATCTGGGCACCAGATGGCGTGAATGGTCATTCCCTGCATGGAATGCATAGAAGCTTTGTGTTCATTCATCCAGCAAGTAGTTATTTGAGTAAACTATTCACTCACTCACGCACTCATTCATGGCAAGTAGTGCTGGGCATTGTGGAATCCATGGTGAGCAAAATGGACAATGTTCCGCCTCTCAGGGAACTTGCAGTCCCAAGGAGGCAGCATTAACAATACCCCTGCCCCTGTAGCACTGTGAGTCACAGGTGCTCTGAAGGATCGAGCAGGTGCTGGAGCCCGGGAGACGAATGTGATGAAACATCGGAAGAGTGGCGGCGGTGGTGTCCTTAGCACAGCAGGGTCTCTGGAAGCACGCGTGTTTCTTCCTTTGGGAAGCAGCGACCTTGTGTATCATCTCTCCTGTTCTCAACAGGGCTATTCCGAGTCTCCGGACCTGGAGTTTGAGTATGCTGACACGGACAAGTGGGCGGCCGAGCTGTCGGGTAAAGATAGACCTCTGTGTTCTTGGGGGTGTTTTTACCTTATTGGTCTTTAATAAAATTAAGAGTGATTGCCATTTTGGAGTCCACTTTCCCCACTAGTTAGTCTCAGTCAGTAATGATGTCTATAAAACAGGTTAATTACTGGGTCCAGCCTGTTTGTCTCATAGCTTTGGCTTGTCCTTTACTTTAATGAAGCATCTCTGGGTGGTCGGCTCAGCGGGCTGTGGCCCAGTCCCCGTGTGGACAGAGGTGCTCCTTGGCCATACTCGGTCCCCTGACGGGTCTCTCCTAGGGCAGTGAGTAGTGAGGAATGCAAGCAGTGGGTGCTTGCAGCTGTGCACATCTGTCACTGCCCCTGCTGCTCCTGTGTAACGTGAGGTTACCCTGAGCTGCTCCACAGGCTTTGGGGTACAGTACTCTTCAGAAGGCAGCACCCACTGAGAGACACGTTTGTGATGGCAGTCAGCCACTGGCATGGCCTGCTGGGGTCCATGTGCACCAGGTGGGGCCACCCCGCATCTAGGCTGCACTGGCATTCTGGGTCGGCTGCAGGGAAAGTCAGCTTTCTCTCCGTCCTGTTCACCAGAACACTAAGACCCTAGTCGTTACAGAACATAGTCCAGGAGTGACTGCGACTCGGGATGGAGTTGGGCCCGGAAGCAGACGCTTTGCCTTCTCTGCTGCGTGTGAGCCCCGGTGTGGGATGTGGACACAGAGCTGATGAGACTTTGTTCTTGCCAGAGCTTTACAGCTACACGGAGGGGCCAGAATTCCTGATGAACCGAAAATGCTTCGAGGAGGACTTCCGCCTCCATGGTGAGATGGTTCCCTCCACATCGGGGTTCCTTTCACCCGTGTCATGAGAGCTGCAGGGTTCCTCCTAGTCATCGCAATGACCTCAGTCATCCCCGACGGCCTGCAAAGCCGGCTGAGCCCTGACTGTGCCAGGCCAGATGTGCCATTCAGGGTGGGCTTGCAAGTCCTCTGATGGTGGCTTTTCAGATTGTGAGTCTCAGGAAAAGAAGAAACTTGATGTGTTTAAAATTGCAGCAAAAATAGCATTGTTTCCGTCTGGAAAGTCAGGTTCCTAGGGCAGCGGGGGGACCTTAGCCCTCTGGGGAGAGTGACTGGCTCTCTGAGCTCTGTCCCGAGGCAGGCCTGCATTTGGTGGCTTAGCTGGTGCCGGGCCGTGGTGAGGCTGTCTGGCCTCAGGTGGAACTGGCCTCTTGCCCTGCAGTGACCGATAAGAAGTGGACCGAGCTGGACAACAACCAGCACCGGACCCACGCCATGAGGCTCCTGGACGGCCTGGAAGTCACTGCCAGGGAGAAGAGACTCAAGGTGGCCCGGGCCATTCTCTACGTTGCCCAAGGTACTGAGGGGACCCCAGGGCGCGGGCCCCTTCAGTGACCTGGCCAGTCGGATGCGGGCGGGGCTCTGAGCTGTGCCCTGTCTGCAGGCACCTTCGGGGAGTGCAGCTCGGAGGCGGAGGTGCAGTCCTGGATGCGCTACAACGTCTTCCTGCTCCTGGAGGTGGGCACGTTCCACGCGCTGGTGGAGCTGCTCAACATGGAAATAGAGTGAGTCCCGAGGGGCCCGAGCAGGGGGCGCGGGGGAGCTTATGGAACCAGTCTTTTTTTTTTTTTTTTAAATATATTTTATTGATTTTTTACAGAGAAGAAGGGAGAGAAATAGAGAGTTAGAAACATCGATGAGAGAGAAACATCGATCAGCTGCCCCCTGCACACCCCCTACTGGGGATGTGCCCACAACCAAGGTACATGCCCTTGACCGGAATCAAACCTGGGACCTTTCAGTCCGCAAGCCGATGCTCTATCCCAGGGGTGGGCAAACTTTTTGACTCAAGGGCCACAATGGGTTCTTAAACTGGACCGGAGGGCCGGAACAAAAGCATGGATGGAGTGTTTGTGTGAACTAATATAAATTCAAAGTAAACATCATTACATAAAAGGGTAAGGTCTTTTTTTTTTTTTTTAGTTTTATTCATTTCAAACGGGCCGTAGTTTGCCCATGGCTGCTCTATCCACTGAGCCAAACCGGTTAGGGCTGGAACCAGTCTTGAGGATCTGGTGCAGGGCCTGAGTCTAAGCGTGTCACAGTGTTTTATCCCTGGTGGGGCAGCCCTTGTCAAGGGGACCCTCTCTTCCCTCTGGGGCAGCACTGATTCAGTCTCTCCTGCAGCAACAGCGCCGCCTGCAGCAGCGCAGTGAGGAAGCCGGCCATCTCCCTGGCTGACAGCACGGACCTCAGGTGAGGCCGGTTAGCCTGAGCGGCGTCAGAGCAGGGCTTGGGGCATCCTTGGGTTTTCTTGGTGTGGGCCCTGTACGCGTCCTTCTCACACACTCACCTGGGGTGTGATGGGCTTGGGGTGGGATCAGTCAGCCCTGCTGGGGGCTCTCTCGGGCGGGGCTCTGGGTTGAGTCTCCCAGAGGAAATCATGTGATAGGACCGCAGTGCTGAGAATGCCATGGGCCTTTCTATTGGATGGAACGCTGGATGCCACTCCTCACATTCCCACCTTCTCGCACCCAGCTGCCCCACCTGCGTAGGGTTAGTCCTGACAGTTCAAGACGCTCATGGCTGCACAGGAAGTAATCGCAGCTGCTCAAGAGCAAGAGCACCTCCCCATCTGTGAGGAGGAGAACCTGTCTCTCTGCCTTTGGAAGTTTCCAGACTGGGTGTTGGTGGTGTCCTCGCTGTAGTTAGGGTCCCGGGCATCACCCTGCGCGCTCCTGATTTGCACCCACCGTGGTAAACACATCCTGTTCTCACCTCCACCTTGTTCTCTCCCACCGCTGGGTCTTTTTCATTCCAGGAAGCTCAGGGCAGTAAATTTTGTGGCCATTGTTCACATTAATCCATTCAGCAGCCATTTGCCAAGCACCTGCTTTGAGCGAGCACTTTGCTAGACATCAAAATACAGAACAGATCGGGTCCCACCTTAGCAACATGAGACAGAAAGAAGCCCACATGCTCTGTGGGACGCTCAGTTTCCTGGCGGTTACAGCCCTCCCATCTGCCAGCCTTGGTGCCCAGGCTTTTCTCGTGTCAGTGGGCGTGAGGAAGCCAAGGGTCTCCCTTGACACCCCCGCTTCCGCCCTGTTATCGCCCTCCCCCCCCCCCAGGGTCCTGCTCAACATCATGTACCTGATTGTGGAGACCGTCCACCAGGAGTGTGAGGGCGATAAGGCCGAGTGGAAGACCATGCGCCAGACCTTCAGGGCCGAGCTGGGTAGGACCCCAGGGTCCTGTCCGGAGGCCCCTCCTGGTGCTGAGGCTGGTGGGCTTGGGAGGGCCCTGTTCCTGCGTGTGCTCCTGACACTGTGGTCGCCTCCAGGTTCCCCGCTGTACAACAACGAGCCATTTGCCATCATGCTGTTTGGGATGGTGACCAAATTTTGCAGTGGCCATGCCCCTCACTTCCCCATGAAGAAGGTTCTCTTGCTGCTTTGGAAGACAGTACTGGTGAGTGCCTCCTGGAAGGGGAAGCCAGGGGACAGGGCCGGAGAGGGGCTTGGACCACTCCCCCTGGTGGTCACCCTCCCTCTCAGAAGGGGCCAGCCCTGTGGAGCTTGCAGGCGAGGCTCTCCAGTCTCCTTTTTACATGAAGAGCATGGCAGACAGAGAGCTGAGCGTGTGTGTGCACTAGGCTCGGTCAGCCCGTTTCTCCTCTCCCTTCCCAGCCTCACTGAACTCTCCTGGGGTGGATATAGTCCCTTGTTCAGAGGTCGAGAGGGTCTCTGTAAAGATGTCATGGGTGCTCTCGCGCCTGGCACAGCCTGTGGGCGTGTTGACCCCGGCCTGCTTCCGTCTGATGCAGTGCACGCTGGGCGGCTTTGAGGAGCTGCAGAGCATGAAGGCCGAGAAGCGCACCATGCTGGGCCTGCCCCCGCTGCCTGAGGACAGCATCAAAGTGATCCGCAACATGAGGGCCGCCTCGCCGCCCGCGTCTGCCTCCGACCTGATCGAGCAGCAGCAGAAACGGGGCCGGCGGGAGCACAAGGTGAGGGCAACAGGAATGGCCTCTGAACGGCTTGGTCAGGTAAAGGCCTCCAGGCAGGGACACTGTCCCCAGTGCAGGGTCCCAGCTTACAGTGGGTCTCAGGAGGGACTAGGGCAAGGAATGACTTGTCATCTGGTCCCAACCTTGACTTCCTGTCTGGTTTCTCACTGCCCTTTCTGTGTCGCAGCCTCTGTAGCTTCCTTGGCCTTTTCTGGTTCCTCAGTGGGCTCTCGTCTGCTCTCCCCCGTCTCCAGGCGCTGATAAAGCAGGACAACCTGGACGCCTTCAACGAGCGGGACCCCTACAAGGCCGACGACTCTCGAGAGGAGGAAGAAGAGAACGATGACGACAACAGTCTGGAGGGGGAGACGTTCCCCCTCGAGCGGGACGAGGTGATGCCTCCCCCACTTCAGCATCCCCAGACTGACAGGCTTACCTGCCCAAAGGGGCTCCCATGGGCGCCCAAGGTCAGGTGAGTCTCAGACCTTTGGAAAGCTCTTGGCCTAAAACCAGGGCCCTCACACCCACAGGCCTGGCACCTGGCCTGGGTCACGTGAGGTCCTCTGCTGGGACAGGCTGGGCTTGGCTCTGGGATGAGGCTCCCTTAAAGTCCCCTGTGCTGGCCCGGGTCTCGGGGGCTGGCCTGGCTGGCCTTGCACAAAGAGGCCCTTGTGTGGCTCTGCAGTGGTAATCGGAGCTCGCTCTTGGGTAGACATGATAACAAGTGAAGGGGGTGGGAAAAATGAGAACAAGGACATTTAAGTGACCCCATTGCCACCCCCCTGAGGTTGTATGTGGTTAACAGAAAAGTGATAGATTGAGGAATAGCTCCTTTAGAGCCGTAATTCAGGTATTGAGATATATGTGCATGAATCAGTGGGCGGGAAGGCACCTTGATGTATAGAAATGATGTCTGTTTGAAATGGCTCCAACTTAAGAACTAGATGGACATGTGAGAGGATATAGAAGTCATTTTCTCCATCCAGGTAAAGCCCCAGTTTTCCGTGATGGGAAAACACACAAGTTTTCAGAAAATGCAAGATACACTGATTGTTTGACAGGAAAATGTGACTCATGAAAAAAATCAGTAGCTTATAGCTCTCGGTGTAAAAATTTTAAGTTTGAGGAGTTCTGTTGACAAAGGTCTTAATAGCTGAATAAAGTATGCTTTTAATTCAATATATCACTTTAATTTTACAAGTCCCGTAAACAAATTACACATAATATAATTTCAGGTCATTGATTCAACATTATGAAGAACATGAAAATAGTCTGAAGGTTTCAGGGATTTTTTTCCATAAAGAAAAACAGTTGAGGGAGACTTTTTCTTCTGTCTCCACAATTTCTGGATGTTCTGTATTTTAGTAACCATGACACCTTGAAATAACATTTAGTAAAAGCCTTGCTCTCTCTCTCTCTTGGGCAGAGAGAAAGACATTGAGATGTTCCTCGAGTCCAGCCGCAGCAAATTCATAGGTTACACTCTGGGCAGGTGAGTGTGATCTGAGTTCCTTTTGAAGAAAAGTAGCGAGAAATCCACTCTCTTGGCCTTTGGTGTTTGGGGACCCAGGCGGATTGATGTCTGGGCTTAACACAGGGCCTTCTTTATCCTCCAGCGACACGAACACAGTGGTGGGGCTGCCCAGGCCAATCCACGAAAGCATCAAGACTCTGAAGCAGGTCGGTGGTGTGGGTGAGCTTTTGGCCTAGTTTGGTCCCAAGTGAGTGAAGTGAGATCGGCCCGTTGGGAGAAGCCATTTAGACTGTTGTCGGCCTGAAGGAGCCTGGGCTGGAGGCATGGGTGGACGGTGGCAGTTCCTCTCAGCAGTTCTTTGTAAATTCTACTGATTCTAGCCGAGCTTTTGTTGGGGACTTAACTGGTGGCTCATTCAAGATTATATTACCTGAAGCTGTTGGAGTTTTAAGGGCCCACTAAATAGCCCCCTTTCCTTGCTCAAGTTCTAAGGCGATTGAGATAGAGGAGTAGGCAGGTGGAGATAGAAACACCAGCTTTGAGGCTGGCAGAGAGATTAGAGACTGAGGCGAAGGGCACTGCAGCCATAGGTGTCCCAGCCCTGACTTCCCGAATGAGGCAGACTCCCCCACCCAGAGCCAGGCAGTGCTGGAGCCCGCCGGCCTGCTCGAGGAGCAGAGGCTTTTGTTCAAGAGAAAAGCGAAAGGGGTGGGCTTAGCATGTCCTGTTCCTCTGCCCAGTCAGCCAGGCGGGGTGTGTGGGAGGGGCAGGGAGAGATGGGGTGTGTGGGAGGGGCAGGGGTGTATTGCACATCCAGTCCCTCCATAGGGGAAGGAACACCAAGAGTCGGAAAGAGGTGTTTCCCTAACAACCCATCTGGAGTGTAAATGGCTATGTTTTTGGAACATATTTCTGAAATGTTTAGTACTGAGTGGGCCCCATGCACCTAAGCTTTTTGAATACTTGATCCCAAATACTCGAGTACTTGATTCTGCTTGGACTAATTTTTCTGTCACTATAGCTATCTGGAAGCCCCTTTCTCTCCCTTAATTTGCTTTTTTCTAGTCTTTTATGTGCTTTTTATACTGGTTTTAAGAGGCAAGTGCTGCCCAGCTGATGTGGCTCAGTGGTTGAGCATCGACCTATGAACCAGGAGGTCATGGTTCAATTCCCGGTCAGGGCACATGCCCAAGTTGCGGGCTCAGTCCTAGTAGAGGGTGCTGAGGAGGCAACTGATCAATGATTCTGTCACATCATTGGTGTTTCTCTCTCGCCCTCTCTCTTTCCTTCTGAAATCAATAAATATATATATATATATTTTTTTAAAAAGCAATTGCTCACTTAGGAAAGTATTTTGGGTACAGGAGGTTAGTTAGGGATCTTTGTGGAGATTCCCTCTTGGAGAAGATTGAAGAAGTTGCCCGGGTCTTTGCCAGGGTGTGGGGCGTGCAGCCAGAGAGTAGGAACTGTTCCCAGCGCCTCTTCCCTTCTCCCCAGCACAAGTACACGTCGATCGCGGAGGTCCAGGCGCAGATGGAGGAGGAGTTCCTTCGCTCTCCTCTTTCAGGGGTGAGTTGGGGCCTTCCTCAGCCAACAGGATCCCTCCGCTCTTTCCAGGCACAGTGCTGGGCCTAGACCACGAAGCTGCCTGGTCCTGCCCTCTTGCTCCCCCTGCAGGGGTGGCTTATCGGGTGCCGGGGTGAAGAGCACAGGCTCTGAGCCAGTCACCACCTCTGAATCTAGCGCCACCACTTGGGGTGACAACTTCACAGGAGACTGGATCTGTTTGTGCTTCAGTTTCCTCACCTGTGAGATGGGGATAATAATCATGCCCTCTTCACAGAGTGTAGTGAGGACTAATGGGCTTCCTACAAGGAAAGTGCCTGCACGTTGTCAGTCAGGTGTGCTGTCACTATCCGCATCGTTGTTTACATCAGTGCTTACAGCCCCTCCTCCAGCCAGCGAGGCAGCTGGCTCAGGAGACTGTCAGGACTGGGCTTGAATCTCTACCCTTGTGGTCAAAGGGAGAAGAGGAAGTGGAGCAAGTCCCTGCAGAAACACTCTACCAAGGCCTGCTCCCCAGCCTGCCCCAGTACATGGTGAGTCCCTCCTCAGGCTCCAGCCTGCCTGCCAGTGCCTCCAGTCCCTCCTGAGTGCCTGCCCCTGGGCCCCTGCGGAGGGACCACCTCTCCGGGCTGAGGCCTGCACCTGGGTGCTCCTGTCCTCCCAGATCGCGCTGCTGAAGATCCTGCTGGCTGCAGCCCCCACCTCCAAAGCCAAAACCGACTCGATCAACATCCTGGCCGACGTCCTGCCTGAGGAGATGCCGTGAGTACCATCGCCCCTGTGCGTGGAGCAGGTGGGGCAACAGAACGGGGCCGTGTCTCCCTTTCAGTCCCCAGGTTTGGGAGGTTGCTTCCTTTCTTGACTCAACTTCTCTGCAGGTTAAGTTGAGGGTATTCCTGGCTCAGAAGAAAAATAAGTACTGGGTTAAATATCTCGATTTGCTGCTTGGGGAGAAGGTCAGCCCAGCTGGCCTGGATTCTAGTGTAGACTCTGCCCTGGGTGGATGCCTGAGTGACCGGGAGAGTCCTCACCCCTCTGCAGAGTGAGTTGGGCTGGGGCGACATTTCCCCAAACCCCCCCAAAGCTGTGTGGCTGGGACATCAGGATGGGGAGATGCAGCTTCTGGACACCGTGCCAGCCAGCAGCTGAGCCTCCGCTGGGTGTGGCTCTCCCGTTCACAGTACCCGGCCTGCGGGCCGTTTGTGAGCGCCTCAGGTGACAGTGAAGTCCTCAGGGCGCTTCCTCCCTGGGGCACTGACCGCCTCTGTTTGATGTGAGGACAAACCGAGATCGAGATCATGTTCTACTTTGAGAGGGACGTGGCCTTGACCTGGCCTCCTGCCTGCCCGCTCAACCCGCCCAGCTCCCTGGTGGCAGGGCTCCTTGAGTCTGGGGTGAAAGGCAGGTGAGGCTGGAGGCAGGGCTTGGCTAATACCAAAGGGGGTGTCAGAACACTGGGCCATTGTGATGGTCCTTGGAAAGGGGGTTCCTAAGTCAAATACTGTACCTCCTCTTAAAAGACTGACAGAAGTCTTGAGTCAAGAAACTGATTTAAGTGTCTGATCACTATGTTATACACCTAGAATGAGTATAATATTGTGTCAAATGTAACTGAAAAATAAATTCAAAGAAAAAGGAAACTGATTTAACTCAATGCTTCCTAAGTTTTCCCCATGACATGGAGTGTGCCGTGTGGTGGTATTCCACAGAGCACACGCGAGAACACAGTCCCTTTAGTGGCAGAAGCTTAGGGGGATCTTGAGAAGTTCACTGTGGAGGAAAGGCAGGGAAATAGGCTAAGGATGTGTTTAGAATCACAGGAAGAGAATTATGCTGAGCTTGGGTGCTGGGTGGGAGGAGCCCTGGGCCTGACCTGAGATGTCCACGGGTCGGGGGTGGAGTGGGAGCCTTTGCCCAGAGAAGGCTCAGGAATCCCATCTCCTGTGAGCACCTAGGAGGGCGCGGAACAAGCTGCGGGCTCACCCGGCTGTTGTGTTTCAGCACCACAGTGTTGCAGAGCATGAAGCTGGGCGTGGATGTGAACCGCCACAAAGAGGTCATTGTCAAGGCCATTTCCGCTGTCCTGCTGCTGCTGCTCAAGCACTTCAAGTTGAACCACGTCTACCAGGTACCTGCCAGGCCTCCTTCCTGTCCACTGGCCACGGCCTGGCAGTGCTGCCCTCCAGGCCTGAAGACGGAGGCCTTGGCCTTCAAACGTTCCGACTCAGTCTTCCAGCCGAGGCCTTCTATCCCGGGAGGAGAGACAGGAGAGGCGGGCGGCCCCCGCGGGCATGCTGATTGTCTTCTGTTGGTTTCAGTTTGAATACATGGCCCAGCACCTGGTGTTTGCCAACTGCATCCCTTTGATTCTAAAGTTCTTCAATCAAAACATCATGTCCTACATCACTGCCAAGAACAGGTGACAGGGACCAGGGCTCAGGAGGGGGGGCCCGGGGCCAGATGGCAGGGCTCCCAGGTAGCCGCTCCCACTGAACCCACTTAGCACCTCTAGGGCCAGCACTCTGCCAGGCTTCTCAGAGATGAATGAAGCATGGTCCCTGCCTGTGAAAACATCGGTGTGTCAAATCCGAGTCTAGCTATCTAGTGACCCGTGACTCAGTCTGTGCCTGGGTGGGAGGGGTCTCATCCTGGTCTCCAGTACAGCCCTCACTGTCCCGTGCCTTTTAAACTTAATTAATTAATTAATTTTGAGGAGGCCAGCCAGGCTGCCGCTCTCCCTAGGGAGCTCAGCCATGTGCGCTGTCACGCCCTGTCTGCTGACTCCTAGCCCCCATCCCTCTCGCCTGGTGCCACCTGTACTTGGCAGTGCCTGCTCATCAGTGTGGTACATCACAGGGCAAGTCATCAGCTGACACTGTCTCCTGAGGGGCTTGGCATACACTCATTGCCGTAAGACGTCTCCCCCAGCCTAGGTGCATGGCTGCAGGGAAAGCAGGGTCTCCACCCCTTACACAGTGTCAGGCTGGTCTCTGGCCAGGGGGACCCTACAGTTTCTCTGGGAGCAGGTGCTTCCTCATCTTAGAGCTGGAAACCAGGGCGGTGCAGGCCAGGTAGATCCCGCTTGCATCCCAACGAGTGAGGGAGGAGAGCAGAGCCAGACCCAGCCTTTGCTCATGGTGGGCTCCGGCCTGCCCTGCCCTCACAGCATTTCCGTCCTGGATTACCCTCACTGCGTGGTGCACGAGCTGCCAGAGCTGACTGCGGAGAGTCTGGTGAGTGGCCAGGCTCTACCGGCTGTCCCTTTGGTGTGAGGGTGGGGGGTGCAGAGCCCGGCTCCCCCACCTGGGATGGAGGTGTCTTCACAGATGAGGTCCTGTCGAGTGCCTGGCTTTTAAAGCACTAATTGCATACAAGGGCGGGGAGGGACCTTGTCGGGCAGAAAGATTAGGGGGTAGGGATTCCTTTGTTGGGAGCATGGTCTTCAGGGGCTGATGACCCAGCGCTCACCAGGCCGAGTTGCTTCTCTCCCCCTCGCTGGGACTGTGGGCCCAGCTCTGAGGGATGGAGTTTCCCGGGGGCTGAGGAGAGGAGTGGGTGCCGGCACAGGCAGGGAGACCTGCAGGTCTGAGGTCATGCATGTGCCGCCCTGGAAGCTGCTGAGCCCCTGCCCTGAGGGTCGTGGTTCCTGGGCTTTCCCTGCAGGAAGCAGGCGACAATAACCAGTTTTGCTGGAGGAACCTCTTTTCTTGTATCAACCTCCTTCGGATCTTGAACAAGCTGACCAAGTGGAAGCACTCAAGAACGATGGTGAGTCAGCGCGGTCAGCATGGACCCTGTGACAGTGCCACGCCCGTCCTCCCCTGAGCAGGAGCAGGGGTCTGGGGTGGGCTCGCTGCTGCGGCTGTATCCTTCCTCCTCACTTTCCTGCAGCCGCATCCGTGTATTTTAAGGACTGATTCCTGGTTCCTTGACAAGTCAGGGAATTCATAGCTTTCTTCAGATTCCAAAACGACTCATAATTAGGGTGGCCAGCGGTCCTGCTTGGCCTGGGACTTGGCGGTTTTAGCTGTGAAGTTCCGCGTCCCAGCAAACTCCTCAGTCTGGGGAAAGCTGGGACAGTTGGTCACCCTGCCCATGACCGCAAACCGGCTGAGCAGTGGCTGGTGATGCAGGCATTATTTGTGCCCTCCACTGTGCCCGCCCGTGCCCTTCCAGATGCTGGTGGTGTTCAAGTCCGCCCCCATCCTGAAGCGGGCCCTGAAGGTGAAGCAGGCCATGATGCAGCTGTACGTGCTGAAGCTGCTCAAGGTGCAGACCAAGTACCTGGGGCGGCAGTGGCGCAAGAGCAACATGAAGACCATGTCTGCCATCTACCAGAAGGTGCGGCACCGGCTCAACGACGACTGGGCCTACGGCAACGGTGAGGCCTGCAAGTGGGTGCTGTGGGGGTCGGGCAGCGGCGACCTCTCCCCCTCTGCTCCAGGCCGCCCTGAGGAATCAGGTGGGAGCGTGAGGAAGGACCTTGAGAAGCTGCCCAGACTCGGTGTCTGATCATCCCCATTCCTCTGTCCCTCCCTCGAAGTTCTGCCTTTTCCAGAAATTGTCATAAGTCTCTCTCCCATCTTTTCTCTCCCCCCTGCCCACAAATTCTCTCAGCTCTTGACCAGCCTCAGACTCTGCTCCAGTGATCTTTCTAGAGTGCGGGTCTGCGGGCACCTCCGAGGAAAGGCCTTCACTGGCCTCCTATTGCCCTTGGAATTAGAGCCAGACTCTCACACGTGGTGTATGAGGCCCACACTCTTGCCTCCTCCCTCCCTCCCTCCCTTTCTCCTCCCCTTCTCTCTAACCGGACCCAGCTTCTCTGCAGCCCAGCCCGTCACTCCGGGTCTCTGGGCACACGGGGCACTCAGTCTGTGCATATAGCCTGTGTCCCTCTTCTGTGCCTTCTGGCAGGGTGCCTCCCCCACACCCCGCACCCCCACAACTGTCCCGTGTCCGCATGTTTCTTCCCCTCTGGGCAGCCGCCTGGGCCTCCTGGGCAGAGTGGGTTCTTCTGGGTGTCCCCTGGCCACGCTGCCGCATCATTTCAGTTCCTGGCCCAGCGCCCCGTGACTTCGTGCCTGGGCAGGGAATCGAGAGAATGAGCTAATGAGGGACCTGCATGCTCCTCCTCTGATCCAGAGAGCCAGGGACAAGGTGGCTTTCAGAGCAGTGAGTCACACCTGTGGCTCCTCACTGGGTCCACTTGGCCACAGTGCGGCCTCCTCTGTAGATCTGGCTTTTCTCCTGTCACCTGACTTTCCCTTGTATCCAGCAAAGAAGTCCTGTCAGTGTTGCTGAGGGTAGGACTTGGAAGTTGGCATCCAGTCAAGTGGGGGAGGGGCCTGGCCCTTAACTTGTGAGTGCCAGGGGAGCTGCCGGGAAGGCCTAGCTCCTGACCATGTCTTCCTGCTTTGTCCCAGATCTGGATGCCCGGCCTTGGGACTTCCAAGCGGAGGAGTGTGCCCTCCGTGCCAACATTGAACGCTTTAACGCCCGGCGCTATGACCGGGCCCACAGCAACCCCGACTTCCTGCCTGTGGACAACTGCCTGCAGAGCGTCCTGGGCCAGCGGGTGGACCTCCCTGAGGACTTCCAGATGAACTACGACCTCTGGTTAGAAAGGGAGGTTTTCTCCAAGCCCATTTCCTGGGAAGAACTGCTGCAGTGAGGCTCCTGGAGGGGACCCAACAGGAAAGGTGATGTGTCAGGTGCCCAGGGCCTGTCCTGGTTCACTGCAGTGCGCCCAGCCCCCTCCAGGTGGCAGCACCACCTCACTGTGCCCTCCCCAGACAGCTCTGGGCTTGGCCTCTGGTTGGTCCCAGCATCTTGCCTGGGAGCGTCATCTCTGCTTGCCACCCTCTCTCCATTCCTCCTCCCTCCTCTCTTGGACATGGTTGGTTGCAGCTCATTTCTCATTCAGCCCAAGGCTGGGAAAAGCTGGGATAGGCTGGGAACCCATCGCGTCTGAATGTCGGGGCTCACGCTGACTCTTCTGGAGACAGGCAGACCCTTGGCAGCCAGCTTGCCAAGGAGGACGCTTAGCATTGGGGCCGGGGCCAAACAGTCAGAGTCCTGGTTTTGCTTTGGGGGTTTCTGGTGTCATCCCAGCCTTCTGCTGAGTTTCCTCCAGAAGCAGTTGCAGAGGCTCCTGCAGCTCCCTCAGCACTGGGTTGGGACAGGGTGGGGTGGGAAGAGAAGCTTCCCTTAGCCAGAGGTGCCCTCTCCCTCTGGATCTTCGAGGGTCTGTAAATATCTATATATAAACCTGTGTGTGTTCTCTTGTGTCATGTTGGGGTTTTTAATGTGTTTGTGTATTCTGTTTACATTAAAAGGAAGTAAAAGTAATCCCAATGGCCTCGTCTGCAGAAAGTGTGGCCCCTGAACATGTCCTCCAGGTCTAGAAATGGGATTCTTGCCAGCATGTCTCTGCCAGGCTGCCTGCCCTTCCCCTCTGTGGGGCACTCCTCCAGAGTGTTCTCCCGCCTCCATCTGGCGTTGCCCACTCCAGGGCTCTGGATTGCGGGGTGACACGTTGTCCTGCGCCCTTGGGTTTGATGGCATGCGGTAGGAGCTCCAGGCTTGTCAGGATCACAGTCCTGAGCTGGCCTCAGAGCCTGGGCGTGTCTGCCTCCTCCTCGCTCTGTCTGCGGCTCTGCTTCTGGGATCTCCCCCTCCTGTTGCTGATAAAGGAGCACCCTCTCCAGAACTGCTGGAAGCTCGCCTGGCTCCCCCGCAGGCCAGGTGTGGGAGGTTCCATCTCGGGCTCTTGACTTACAAAGGAAACATGTTCTGGGGAACCTCCAGGACCTAGAGGAAGTATGTACTGTGAGGTTACAGTCTCGGTAAGATGGATTTGCCCTTTCTTTCTCCCCAGCCATCCCGGTCACTCAGCCTGCCTGCCTGCGGCTTTGTTCTCCCTCGTTGATTTTCCCAATCCCTCCTCTGAAGTTTCCTTAACCAGAGGTGCCGTTTTCCTTCTTGGTCTGCTAAGGCCTGTAAATACCTGTATGTATCTGTGCAAACAAGCACACAGACTGTCAGATCTGCGACGGCCGCAGAGCCTGGGTGAGGAGGCCAGAGCCAGGGGCCTCCTGGGAGAGGAGCCTTGTCATAGCCGGAGTGTGCTCGTGGCAGGGTGGCCATTTGGACCCAAGTCTTGGTACAGAAATATCTTTTCGAGCCAGTGACCACCCGATCTCTGTGGCGTTGTACCTCATCTGGGCCATGAGATGGACAGGGTCTGTGAAGGCCCCTTTGTAAATGGCTGAGATACAGAAAAGGCTGATTATTGCTAACCAGGCTCAGGGCCCAGTGCTCCTTCAGTCCACTCAGGGACGGATAACCCCGTGGCCATATCACTTTGAGGATGGGAACTTGTCAATCAAGAGTTACCACTTAGCCCGGCCGGCGTGGCTCAGTGTTTGAGCGTAGACCAGGAAGTCACTGTTCGATTCCCAGTCAGGGCACATGCCCGGGTTGCAGGCTCGATCCCCTGTGGGGAGCGTGCAGGAGGCAGCTGATCAATGATTCTCTCTCATCATTCGTGTTTTTATCTCTCTCTCCCTCTCCCTTCCTCTCTGAAATCATTAAAAATATACATATATTTTAAAAAGTTAACCACTTAGGGGCGCCAGATAGGCAGGCAGGGCCGATACTGACGCTTCCCGAAAGCCTGGTTTCCACACAGCAGCCAGTGATCCGCACTGGAGCTTACTATGCGCCAGCCACTGCTCTGAGAGTTTGTCTGTAGTTTCCGTTTATAGTACCTCTGAAAGGTAGCATTATTGCAGCGCCTCTTTTGCAGATGAAGAAACTGGCACACAACAGGTAAAGAACTTGACCAAGGTCACAGAATAGCGAGAGCCCGAGCCTGGATGCAAACCCAGGTCTCTTTCGCAATGTGTGAGTCTCCTTCCCCCACCCTTCCCCTGTTCATCACTGTTACCCGGCACTTGCCAGCAGAGCATTGGTTTGCTCATTTATTCACCTTAGTACTTAGCATTTGCTCAAGTGTGAACCCAGGAGAGAATCTTGGCAAATGTCAGTTGATTCAGGTTTTGAGTGGCCACCCAAGCTTGACCTTGGCCTGGCCTCTGGTGTGCCCCAAATGTGCCCCCTCAAGTAACTTGGGGGTTATCGCTGCTACCTCATCTTCTTTTTCTGTCCAAGCCCGAACGTCTTTCTCTCCCGGATCCCAGTGGGCTGTGCGGCTGCCTCTGCCGTGCCTATTAGTTATCTCCCGGGAGGCTGGCTTCCTGTCTGCCCTCTGATGAACTGGCTTCTCAGAGAAGCAGTAGCTGTGCCGTTCCTTTGGCCCTTGCACAGTTGGCCTCGGGCTGCCAGCTATGGAACAAGCACCCTCTGGGAGTCGGCAGCCCTGACGTTCAGTCCAGCCTCGATGTGTAGTCGCTGAGGGACCTGAACTCGTCAGGCCCAGCCCAGCTTGTCTCCTCTGTATGAGCTGGTTTAATAGCGGCAGGTGGTAGTGAGGTCTGAGTAGTGGGTAGCGGACCTACACACGGGCTGGCAAGAAGCAACAGATAAAAGACAGCTATTCTCTTTTTATTATTAATCCTCACCCGAGGATATTTTTCCATTGATTTTTAGGTGGGGTGGAAGAGAGAGGGAAAGACAGAGAGATACCGATGTGAGAGAAACACATTGATTGGTTGCCTCCTGCATGAGCCCCTACCAGGGCCCAGGCTGGGAGGAACCTGCAACCAAGGTACATGCCCTTGACCAGAATCAAACACGGGACCCTTTGGTTCACAGGCCGACGCTCTGTCCACTGAACCAAACCGTCTAGGGCTGGCAGCTATTCTTAATATTGCTAATGGCCCTTCCAACTCGAACTTTCTGTGAATTTGCATTCATTTCCTGTGTCCCCTGGAAAACAGAAACCCCCTCCAAGGACCGTGTCTTAGGCCTTCTTATATCCCTGACCCTTCGCTAGCTGCTCTGAATACAGACTCTCAAGAGTCAGCTGCTGGTCCAGCAACCCTGCCAGCATGCCGTGAGGGCCTGTTCTGGGCTGGCTCACAGTTGATAGACAGCCATTAAAGCAATTGAGAGCCATAATGTGGAGACAGATCTGCAGGGCCACGCAGGCCCCACTGGCCCCAGCCCATGCCTCCTGGAGAAGAGACTGGGCAGGAGCCTGCAGTTGGTGAGTGGGAAGGGTGGGCCCTAGAGCAAACCTCCCCCCCTCCCATCCCTTCCCCCCTCCCCGGTGCAAACGGCCTGGATGAGCCTGTGGCAGAGGCTGGGGCGGTGGTGAGGTGTGTACTCCCTCTGCCCAATCCAGGAAATGCCCAGTTCCTGGTGGTGCCATCCTCTGTTCCTGTCAGGCTGCAGAGGGTCTGTGCTTCAGGTTGTAATTCAGGTTGATGTGGGAAGGATAATGGAGTGCCTCTCAGGACCGTTTCTGATGCTGATGCCGGACTGAGACTATAAGTCTGGCCCAGGCCTGCTGGCTGGGGCCCCCCATCCCCACCCCCCCACCCCCGCCTCAGCCGGGTTCCCGTGCCCTGCCAGCACCAAGACTTAGGGCTTCTCTGGGGGCCTCACTGGGCAGAGAGGAGCTTAGCAAAGGCTAGCAGCTCTCTCAAAGCTGGGATTCCAGGAGGGGCCACTTCCCCTTTCCTTTACCAAGAGGGTGACTAGCGGCTCAGCCCGGCCTTGGAGAGGATGGGGCCTGGGCTGAGGGCGACCGTTCACCTTGTTAGTAAGGCTGGGCTCTGGGCAACTGGAGCCCTGGGGGCTGCGCCTTAGTGGTGAGACCCGAGTGTGGAGGAGGGGACAGGAGGATGGCTAATGGGAAGCAGGTGGAAGGGGTGCCTGTGTCCCAGCCCGGGGACAGGCCTCTGGGATGGCCCAGGCAGTGGGAGAACCCGTCAGCGCACAGATAATCCCAGGGAACAGGCTCCGAGATGCCCATTCATATTCATTATGTGTGAAGCGGGCGGTTGTAAAGGTCGCTTTCCCTTCATTTGGCTGTCACTGGACAGAAAAATATGAGCTGTGGGCAGATGCCCCTGGCTGGGAGCCAGGAGCTGGTCCCGGCCTCCCTGTGCCCTCCCCCGCCGGCCCCTCCTGGCCTCTGCCCGCCTCCCGCTCCCACTGCGGGATCCGGGCTCAGCTGTACTTTCTTCTCTCCTCTGTCTCCTTCCCACTCCTGCTTCCTCGGCTTCCCCGGGTCTCTTCCCACTCTCCATCTTTTCCTAAGCTGTGCTTGACCACTGCTCTCCTCGCACCCAGCACAGTGCCTGGCACAGAGTGGTTTGTAAAACAAACGACGCTCTCTGACTTGGTGGGACGCAAAGTCCACAATTGTGCTGGCCTCTCCTCGTGGGAAGACACTTCTGGTCTTAGCCCTGGACTGAGGAGCGTGGGTCTGTGCCCGGCTGTCACTGACCAGCGGGTGGAAGCAGCTGGGTGCCTCTCCCTTCCACTCGGACTCTTCCCTTCCCTTCCACTCGGACTCTTCCCTTCCTCAGGGACCAGGACTCACCTGAGGAGAGAAGCCGCTGGAAGCCAGGCCCTGAGCGAAGGGAAGGGAAGGACACGGGTTTCCTCGGGGACACGCGTCTAGTCCCAGGGACTTGCTCCCCTTTGGGAATAAGCCCAGCATGGGAGTCTGTGCTTGGTCTCTCTGCGCCTGGATGGAAGAGGAGGCACCGGGGTGGCGGGGCTGCTGGCTGAGCTGAGCTCGGAGCAATGTGGTGGGATTTACTGAGGGTGGGAGGGCCAGCCCTGCTTTTTCCTGCCTTCCGGGCTGTGGAGATAAGGCAGAGTGGGGATGAAGGATAGAATGGGTAATACTCTGAAACCACAAGAAAGGGTCCTGGCTTTCGTCTCTGCCCCACAGCCCAGACACGCTCCCGGGGCGTCTGGGGGAAGGAGCCGCCCCACCCCCACGGCTCTGAGGTCCTGCCCAGGGGAGCTCACAGCCCTCAGTGGGCTTGCTGGTCTTCCATTCACTCCCCTTTCCACCACCAATGTGCCCTCTTAATGAGACCTGCCACCTTGTACACAGAGCCTGGGCAGGCGACAGGGCCGGCATGGCAGGCACCAGCCTTGAGGGCCTGGCCCAGCCTGGGCCCTGAGCAGACCAGTCCTAGGGCTACCCAGTGCCCACCCCTGAAATACGCAATCACCGGGTCCAAAACACTGCCCCTTTATTATTATGCTGGGCAGCACTTGTTTTTACAAACGCATCTTTATAAAAGTGGGGGCATCTTTCTTACCAATGCCCAACGAGTAAACCAAGGGAGCTAGGTAGGGTCTCCATGGCATAGCTCTGGCCTGACCCTATGGAGGAGAATCCAAGCATTTGGTGGTT